TTTTCATCAACATCAATAAGTTGAGCAAGTGATAAATCAAATGAAATATTTGTTACATCAGTATGAACTCGTGCAGGTCGCACTGTTTTATCATAAAAAGTTGGATCTAATAAAATTCGAGTTAAGTTCATTTCAAAATCACACATATTCATTTCTATTTATTATCAATGCAATTAAAATATAATAGACAAAAAAATATATAGTAACAAAATGAATATAATAAATTCATACCTGATATAAAACAAAAAATTAATAGAAATATTAATTCCATATTGAAACAAAACATTGTCTATGTATGTATGTTGATAGTGTGAGATGGCATCGAACGTCAAAAAGGCCCGACTTAAGACGCGATACACCCGGCTAATTGAGTTATTCTTTGTCGCAGGCGTTGTTACATCTTTTGTTATTTCAATCTATGATGAAGCGAATGAGTTTTCTTGTTCTTTTTTTAAGCGTATCGACATTCGTCTTTTATTTTTATTATATATATATGTCGTGCCGAAGTTACACTCTTTGCCGAAGTTGTAACTTCGGCAATATAACGTTTGTCGAAGTTGTTAACAACTTCGACAAACGTTATATTGCCGAAGTTATAACTTCGACAAAAATATCCGTCGAAGTTGTAACTTCGACAAAATTTTTGCCGAAGTTACAACTTCGGCAAAGAGTGTAACTTCGGCACGACATATATATAGATAGACAGAGAAGTATGTGTACTGATTTTTAAAGAATAAATATATTTGTTTCTGTAACAATTTTAGGTAATAAATGAAACAAATAAGAAGTGAAACGAATAAAAAGAAAAGAAATGATCAATTCATTTTCTGTCATTAAATGCGAATCAAATCAACAAGGGAAGAAACAGTATCATTAACTATGAAGTATGTGTTCAAACTCAGAAAACAAGAAGTACTTCATCTTACAAAAGAAGAGGCAACAAAACATAAATAAATAAAAAGAGGATACATCGAATATATCGATTTTATAGGTGGATACGGAAAAGAGATCTTATGATGATAATCTGAAAAAAAAATCAATAGTTCATATATATATATATATACATCGTTCTATATGAATCTTTTTTTTGCGTAAAAAAAGCATCCGTGCGGAAGTGTGTGTTATGACATGTTCAAGTACCCTAATTTCCTTTTTTGTCTTGTGTTTTATTTTTCTCGCTAGATTCTCAATCAAGCAGAATCAATATTATGTGATGTCAAAAATGACAACTATGCAATGACTGATTTTTAAGTATCAATATTTGTATGAATGAATATAGTGTGTCATTAAGTACATCTTTGTCTTCCGGAATATTTTCAGAAATAATCAATCAGATAAATTTTCAAAGTGTTAATATAAATAGATTTTAATAAGTAGAATTAATGTTTGATTAGACTTCAAATTATTAGAAATTGAATTTTAAATGATTGACAAGGATTCGTTGTTAATGATAATGAAGTATGTATTATGGATTTGTACACGAAGAGCAATATTCTTTTGTATCGAAAAACAATCGAGGTTCCAATTCTATTTAAAAAAAAAGAACTTAAGCTTTATTGAATAGAGTGGATTATTTTGCATAGAACTTTGAGTGGCATGAAATGTCTTATTGATGTAGAATAAAGTTTTGAAGCTTTTTATGATTTATAAAAAAAAAGGTAAGTGTCTTCTTCAATAGAATGACATATCTGAAGTTTTCTTGCAGATAAATTAATCAAATTGTCTGTGAAATATCGTATATAATATACTGAAAAAAAGAAAAGTTCAAATTCTACATCAAATCAGTGTTTTGTCTATCTTGAGGGTAGCACCTGTTCAAAGATCATGTGAGTCCTCCAAGAACTTTTGATTATTGTACCACGTACTATGTGTCTGTGTATCCAAAAATAGGTGTTTGCTCTCACAGAATTCCAATTCGTTCTTCTGGAAGAGAAAATTCAGATAAAATACTTTATCAAATAATTTTTTTTCATAGCAAAAAATTCAATAGTACTCATCCATTGCAAAGATTACATGAGTATTTTTTTCTCAACAGTAAAAAATAAGCTAATGTATTTATGAAAGTAATATGAAAACAAATTCGTCGCTACAGAGACTTTTTAAGATAACAAAACAATCTAAAATAGTTATATTAAGCTAGTTTATTGAGGTGTTTTTCTATCTCGAGATAGTTCCATGAAATCTTTACCTCTTGAAAAATCTTGAAAAAAAATGTACAGAAATGCTCAAAAAATCGACATTGTCTGAACTTACGCATCATTCGATAACTCAAGACATTTTCTCGCTAATACAAAGGGGCGACGTTCGTAAGAGAATTTGCTTAAATACAATAATCTTTTTATTCCTTGCAAGAATGTAGTTTTCTGAAAAATATTTCACGCCTTATTAATAAAACTTTTTCGATACATTGAGCAGTAAAGCATACATCTTCGATAAAATTAATCGAAAAAATAATTAGATATTTTTTTTCTTATTGCTTGAAAAAAAATTACACTAGGCCATACAAAACAATCAGAGTACTTTAAATTAAATCATTTATAAAGACTGTTATATGAATATAGACTATCGATACTGTTTAAATAGATAGCAAAAAAAAAAAGAAATAATCAATTGGCTCAATAATAGCAAATAGATTGAGTTTTTGTTTTTTTTTCGGAAAATGACTAATGAGTAATAGTTGATAAAAATCGAATACCATTTACAGTATATGAGTAATAAATAGGAAATATGTGATTTGATTTATAAGATACATTATAAATAAGTTTGATGCTTGAAAAGATTTCCCTATTGCACAAGACATCTCATGAGATCAATATTTCATATCGTCGATTTCTAGGCTTAATTCTGTATCTTGTTAGCATAAAAATTAATTTCACATTCAAAAGACAAAGTTTTATTTCAGATTTTGATCGATCACTTTTCTATAAGCTATTGATTATTATTTCTTCTTTTGTTTCTCTTTGCTTTGACATATCACTCCTTTTTATTCCAAATAAGAACGATATGAAGAGTAAAGAAGCTCATCATATATCTTGGAAAACATCTCGTTTCTCTCTCATACAATGACATACTGAGGATATTTCTTTTCGAGAGAAGAATGAATCGAAAGAGAACAGAATAAAAAGAAGAGCCAAAGAGTGCAATACATGGCATATGAACATACAAGAAAGAACAAACGATCTAACTAAAGATGTTTCATCGCTGATGACCCATGACATTGATTGTTTTACATTCAATAATATTGTATTTCATGTTCACAGAGTAATTTATGGTATATTTGAACACTACAACATACATTAAAACTAGACTATCATTTCTTATTATACTGATTGTGATGGACATCTTGGAACTATTTCTTACCTCATAACTTCGTCATATATATAGAGCATTTAGGGGTAGTTCTCCTCTCCCCCTCCCCTTTCGTGACCCAACATTTTTATTTTATTTTTTTTTTGTGATCATTGTATAGTGGAAAGTCGTATCTATCTACTGAGTACGTTGCAGGATCCAAAAATTGTCTTTAATTGTTAAAAAATCAAATTTATGTTGTTTCGAGTTTTTCTCAAGCCAACGTTTTCATGAAAAAAAAAAGTGTAAAGACGCTCTCATTTCTCTGGCCTATTGCGTCCGATCGAGCTGAAACGTTTTTTTTTACATATACTATTCACTCTCTGGGATGGATGCTTTCTTTTTGTTTCAAAAAATATTGTTCTACTGATTTTTGATAATTCTTAAAAAAGAAGCTCTATTAAAACCATCATACGTTTTTTATTCTAAGAATAAAAAATAAAAAGATATCCACCTCAAACAGTGTCTAGTGCCTCTAAAAAAAATATTCATCTTGATCGAACATAGTATTTCGAAGAAACAAGAGGTGAAAATTGGGATCCCAACATTTTATAGAAGACACTGTCTGAAGTGACAACTTTTGCTCTACTCGTCAAGAGCTATGGATCCTGAAAATTTCTAATTTTTCTCATGGTCTAGTTTTCAGAAGGCTAAGAAAAGGCTAGAGACACACTTAAATATTTTTCTTGAAGTTAAATTTCAAGCGAAGCTATAACTTATCAATTATATAATGCATATATTATCAAACGTTTCTAAAAAAAAAGCCATCTTAAAATTGTAAATAGACAAATGTTAAAAATTATGCATTATTGATATGATGTGACGAAGGAGGAAATTTCAAATCTTTCCTCTAAGAGAGACAAACGTACATAAATGCACTGCATTAGAATCATTCTGACTATTCTCACCATAGATTCATCCATCTTGTCTAACTTCCATCAACACAAAATATATTTGTATGGGTACTAGAATAATTCTCTACTATTAAATGAAAAACGAGCAGTTGTAAACAAAGGAAGTACAAGCCAAAAAAAATATTATAAATTTGCTTCATAATTTTAAATCTTTTCTGGTTGATTATGTACTTTGTTTTAATTGATTTGTTGTGATCATAAATTTATTCTATTTTGTTTTGTACTTATTTGATTAATGTGATCTTACAATTAAAAATATACTTTTTCGTGTCTACAGTTTTCCTATGTATATGCGTATTTTTTTCGTTACAGTCTAATAAGAAAGGATTTTTCTTTTTCTATCACAAGAACGAAGTTTGTTCGTGCTAAAGAAGCGTAACGACATGCTATACACTTGCATATATAACTAGACTGATTTCAGTCAGATCAAACACGAAAAGAAAGAAACACGCCGTTCAAGGTCTACATAATTTCTCAACTTAATCCGCTATGAAAAATAAAAAATTGAAGAAACAGAATATGCTCTAATTTCACTGTTGCATAAAGTGGTTCTTTCAAATTTACAGAGGTCGCTGATGTCATGGAAAAAAAATGTTTTCGTTGATTCACACGTTTTTCTTCTTCTTCATGGATTGTCATGACAATGTTAAACATTAATGGTAGACATATTGTGTTGTCTTTGGTAAAAAAACTTCTACACAAACAAGAAGTAACTTGTTTTATTCAAACGAAATAAGCATGTATAAGCTCGATTTACCAATTGATCTTAAAGAAAAAGCAGCTATTGAACGACGTCGTCGTGCTGAAAAAGAACGTCAAGGACGAATATTCAATGCTAAATTTCGACAAATTGGGGTATTATGAATGATAAATTTATTTAATATTTAAATCTTCATAGTTTTATTGATCTATATATAGGTTGATAAAGAAGCACTTGATCAACAAATTCAAGATCGTAAATGGATAGAAGATTTAGAAGAAAAACGAGCAGCTGCTTTTGGTAAATTATCTTTTCTTATCTAAGAATTTAAAAAAAAAAGAGCTAAACATTTAAAATTTCTATAGCAAAAGATTCTATTCGAAATGACACAATTGCAAAATTACTTCAACATCGTCAAGAATACGATGATAGAGAAAATAATCGAGCATTAAACGAATTTCGTGCTTTACATCAACAACCAGCTGCTCAACGTAAAAGAAGAAAAAAAAAAAAACTTAAATTAAAAGTATAAAATAAATATTTTGATTATTTCAATTAATAGGAGAATGGGATTTAAACGATCCAGATTTTTTAAAAAAGGATATGCCAGCACGTGTATCTGATGATGATCCACGTTGTGGTATAGCTAGTTTACAAAAATTTCAAGGTGAAGATCTTAATTCACGTGCTCGAAATAAATATCAACAAGAACAATTACGTGAATGGTCACGTATGCAACAAGAAGATCAACGACGTGCACAACAACAACAGCAAGCAGCTGATCAATTATTTTATTCTAAACAAATTGAATTAGATCAACGAGCTATTGAACTTCAACAAGCTGAAGAACAATGTAGACGAGATATTAATAAATCAACTCGAAATTATAATGATGCATTAGTAAGTTAATTACATCTACATAAATTTTTCTTTCTCATAGGTCAAGATATTCCGGCGTCTAATGGGAAAATGTCTTCAACTAATAAATCATTTTTGAGTCAAGACTACGTGCATAATTTAAATGCAATTGATTTATGAATGTTCTAAAAAGAGATTGTGCCCTTTCCTTATTAATGTGGAGATACTGCACATTTACAGTATTGTTTTAATGAATGTCGTAGTAATAGAAAAGATGATTTTCGAATTTCGACTCGAAACTTTAGATAGATCAAATCTGCTGTTTGTATATGAGTAGTGTCAAAGACACACTATTACTGTAATTATATTTTAGGATAGGAATAATAACAAGATCTGAAAAATTTACAAAAAAAAAAAAAAACAAAAAAGTTTCAATTCAAAATTGGAAAATCAGTTTTTCTTGACCACTGTATTGATTTTTAAAAAAGCCCATAAAAGTCTAGATTAAGTCGTAAATCCGCTAATTAGAGTGTGAGTGTGAGCGGAAATATGACGAAGAGAAAAAAATAGCAGGAGACAAGGAAATTTTTTTTAGAGCTGAGAAAGTGCATATACAATTTTCTAAAATTGGAGGGATGCGCGCCACACCTCTTCATCGCTACATCCTTGAGTATGAGTAGTGAAGTATGCAAAATAACATCAAATTCAAAGTATTAGAATGTCGATTGTACCCTATATTATCAAAAGATGAATTCAAGACATGTATAATGCATGAATGATTTACATTGTATATTTTTGTATAATAATAGTCTCTCAAAAAAATTTTCAGCAAATATATGCATAGTTAAAAAATAAATCTAGAAAGTACTAATTAAGATAATAATAAGAAATAAAAGAAAATATCATGCTTTGCTTTTGACATGATAATACAATGTTCTCAAATTATATATTATTTAAGGTCACGTCCGTCTCTGCCCCCACTTTAAGAAAAACGTCAAAAAGAAAATTAAGATAAATGCGTAGGAGATTATCTGATTTCATTTCTTTCATGAACCGTATGATGTTTATTAATTGGGACCCCACTTTTTTTAAAGCACAATTTTTGATGATTTCTGCTACTTTGTGTTTGAAAGATATGTTTTGTTTTTCAGAAAAAGTGGGAAATTTTTTTTGATCGCGCAACCCAGAATCCTGTGTGGGCCTTCATTTGATATATTTAATTTGTGTTCGTTTGAAAGAGCATGTTATAACTACAGGACCATTTTTTGAGATTTCTTCGAGACATTCCGCATTTCTCCGCTTAAAAAGTAAGAATAAAAAACAAGAGCTTCTTAATGTTCTCTCAAGCAAAAACATTAAGTATACAGAATGAAGGCTTATAAAGAATTTCAGATTGTCAAATGAGCTATTGTCGATCCTTGTTTGTTGAATATCTTTTTCGAAAACATCATGATATATGGATGGAAATTTTTTCATAGTCTCTCCAGCACAGTCCTAACATGTCCTGCAAATTTCATGCGATTTTGTTAAGTTGAAAAAATAAAAAGAAATTGTAATTTTCAAAATCTCGTATAATTAGTTTTCATATATCTTTTTTTTTTGTAAATCGACTTCTTCCTACATTTATATTATATTTTGTCAGTATAATACAAAATATAACAGAATAATACTAGAATAACTATAAATAAACTTTTGTAGGCTTCGGATTAGCATTTATATTTTAAAAAAATGCTAATACTTCTTTATTAGAATAAAAAATTCAATTCAATTTTTTTGTATGACTATGAATTAGCATTATCTCATACTTGCTTTTCCTATGAGTATTTGTATTAAGTCATAATAATTTAATACTAATGCAAAAGCATTGAATTTATAAGCCTAAAACAAAGGGTGTTGATTAGTATTGATTAATGTCAATGTAAAGTCATTTTTCCTAAACTAAATATCAATTGGTAATTTTCAATTGTCTCAATATTTTATCGTATTATTGAGATGAAGTATAAATACTTACAACAGAACACTATGTTATAAGTCTGATTATTGAGATTATAAATTGGGTATTTAGCTACATATTTAATAGAAAACAGATAATCTATAAATAAAAGAAGTAAAAAAAAACCTTTTTGATATTTAATTTAGTAAGAAAATAATAATTTTAGTTTAATAATTTCATCAACTTACTTTGTTTAGAATAAAAAAAATCGAAGGTTTTCATATTTTAAAGAGATTAGTAATTAATAATAAACGATAATCAATTGATATTGGATCGGATTTTAATTGTATTTACTTTCCAAAAATTTAGACATAAAAATTTATCATTCAATTACAGTGTGATAAAAATCATGAAGTATAGATATCTTCTTAAGATGAACAGAAAACAGAATATAACTGCATCTCAAATGCTCACCAAATAAAAGTATATTGTTTCCATCAGAAATTACAGTTCACTAATCCAATTATATTTTGTCCTTCAGATTCTGGTAGAAAGTAGATAATGATGATTAACTAATAAGAAAAAGAAAACGTAATGATAGTTTATATTTTTCAAACAAAAACTTCATGATGATTATTATTCTAAATATAAAATTTAACCTTGAATCTTTTTCTGGATGACAAAAAAAAATCAAGATAAGCACTTCTAGCACAAAAGAAAACCTAGTAATCTACTATCAATTACCTGCAAGCCTAGTGAATTAGAATAAATAACGTTTAATAATATTTTTTTTTAAATTAGTTTCGAGAGAATGAAGAACGACGTGCATTAAAAAAACGTCAAGAAGAATATGATAATTATGCTGAAATGGCAAATATGGTGTCAAGTGATTTATTAACAGAAAATCCTGATCAAGCTATAAGTCAATTTGGACCTCATCGTATTGTTCCTGATCGATGGAAAGGTATGAGTCAAGATCAAATACGTCGTATACGCGAAGAACAACAAAAACAAGTTGAAGAAAAAAAAGTAAATTTTTATTTTTTTTGTTTTTAAATTATTATTTTGATCATAAAATTAATTGTATAGCGTCGTGATGAAGAAGAACAACAACGTGAAAATGAATGGAATCAACGACGTGTTACTGAAGCTAAAGCTGGAATGATTATTGAAAAACAAGTTGAACGTGAACGACGTGCAAATGAACATAATCTTTATAATGATAATCAACGTTTATCAAATGAACAACGAAATCTTAAAGCATATCTTGATCGAGTTGTTTATACAAATCAACCAACAGCTGCTTATTTTACTCAATTTAACAATTCATCAAGATAAATTCTTTCTTTTTTGTCTGCTTTTCTTTATTTTATTATCCGATTTATATAAACTGAACTATCAAAAAATAAATAAATATTCCTTGACGTTCAATTGATTTCTCTTATTATCAATTAAATAAAATATCTTTGATTGAACGAGAATTATAAATTATTATCTTTGCTTTAGTTTAATAAACAAATGCTAATCAAAAAATATAAAAATAAAAATATTTAATTTATGTTTATCTTTCTTTTTTATTGAATATTCATCAATAAAAATAATATGTGCAAAAGGATAATTACTTGTGAACTAATCAAGCTGAGATTTTGACTTATTTATATTATTGAAATCTTATTGAATGATGTAAACATTCGAATTATAAGTTTGACTTTTTGAATTGAATATGAAGAATTAATATGTAGATCAATATTATAAGAAAGTTTTGAATAGAAAAATGAATACAACTGCATTTTGTAGTTCAAAAGTTTTATATCAAATAAATTCTTTTTGATTTTGTTATATGACTTTTAAAATTTAATTTAATCATTTAACCTTTCTTCTGTGTATTTAATTTTTAAGGTCTATTCTTTAGCCTGCATATTAAGCTTTTATCTACTCAATAGATTTCTAGACTCGTTTTGTCGAGCTCTTCCCTATCATAGCGACGGGAATCAAAGATCCAAGGCCATTGAATACATTTTCATAGCAACTGTGGGCAATAGAGATCAGGCTCTTTTCGCAGAGTTCCATAATAATAGAAATAGACATTGGACGACATTAATAACAAGACTCAGACTGTTCCAACGTGATTTATAATAGTACGTTGAGACCTGCTATAGATATGATGGACATGTACAACAAGCTTATAACGAACTACGAAAATGAAAAACAACGAGTGAGGCAAAAACAAAATAAAGCGTTAGTAAAAAAAGAAAAAACCTCCTGTTCGAAATGCAGAAATAAATAAGACAGATTGTTTCTCAAGCGATTAGTTATTCATGAAAAATAACTATAGTCTGCTAGAGACTTGACACTTGATGTAATTTAAATTAGTATAATGAAGCTCAAGAATACATATGATTTTTACATTGTAACGCCCACAATTAGTGTCTTAGACAAGTTCGTTTTTAGTGCCTTAAAATATTATGCTTCATTTTGTTACATGGACTTTCATTCATCTGTAAAGAATAGGATTATTTATTCTTTTTATATTTCCATCATCTTGATAATTCTTTAATATTTTATGTTATATGAAATAAATTATAGACTACAGATTTTTTATGACAATTCTTTGACAGCTAGACAAGGAAATGACCTTGTACAAGTACAAGTACGATTATTTTTAGTTTGAACATGTATATAAATTCAATATATCACTTTCTTCTCTTTTCAAAATTATCATATATTCCGATTAGATTGTTCAAAAAAAGGTTGAAATCAGTTAGCATTGTGAAGCGTACTGAGACGAGAATTCTGTATTTGTAATGTCAACATATAATAACAAAACTTGTGTATCGAAGGAGAAAATGTCGACGAATGCGTTTAGTATTAAAGGGAAAAAAGAGTTATGGATTAATTTATTCATCATCATAATAAGGTAATACTTTAAGAAATAAATGAAAACACATCACAAATTCCAAGTGACATACTCTTCTTTTAGTATTTTTTTTCTTTTTCTCAAGAAAATTTCACAAAAACAAGTATTTAACAACAAGTTTATAACTTCATAAATATTAATAATATGGGTAAATAATTAATCAATGATAATACAAATGAAATAATACATCGAGTCACTAACAATATAAGTTTAAATCCAATAGAATATATTGGATGAATTGTAAAATATGAAGGTTAAATTAGAAAATAAAAAACAAAAAACTCGAAGAGTTTTTAATGAAAGCATTTTAAAATATTAATAATAATATTGTAATAATTTGTTCATTTTCTATCCAAAAATAATCTTTTTCTATTATCACTCTCAAAAGTGAGTCAATAAAATTTTAAGTAATAGTCCAATATACCACTCTTTATGTTCTATCATTTGAAGAATGAAATAATTCAAATCATCATATATTGAAAGAAGTAACTACAAAGCAAACTGTGTAAATTTTTTCTATGTTGCAAACAACTGTACATGTTTGAAATCAAGGTTCTTTTGGATTAAATAATCATGATGTCGTATTAAAACTTGGCTATTAAAATATTTCAAGCAACATGTCTGTAGGATATTGAATTGTATAACGTTTAGCTTCGATTTCACCTAGAGAAAAAATATTGATCATGTATTTGTTGCATATACTTGTGACTACCGTATCATGTACCATATTTTTTGTTTTTTCTCAAACAATACGAATCGTCTATCGGTATCAGATGGTTTTATTTAAAAAACGATATAAAAATAGTCCTTCCATATATATTGAATATATTAAGAAGATCATTGTCAAGCTCATGTGTATACTAGTATTAAACACTAATATTGATCTGAACTTGTTTTTCTTCAATGAAACAAAACATTTTGAAATTAATGAAGAGTCTTTTTTTTTAGATCAGATATTTGTTCTTTGAGAAGTATTATTTGATATTTACGAAATATAAATATATGAAAAAAAGATTCAATAGACTGTTTGTAAAAGTATTTTCACTTTTTATCTCTAAATGACTGATATTCTCACGGTAATATAAAAGTAGTGTCGGTAGTACTTTTAATATCATCTGGAAAATCTTAAGAAACTTTTTCTCTGTATGCAATGATAATCAAAGTAATGCTCTACATTTCTGCAATCGTGCATTATTCTTCAAATGATATCATAGTAGTAGAATACTGATAAGAAATGTATGTTATGATATGTAACGATCATACTAATGAAAAAAAAGACGGGTAGGTACTTTTTGAATAAATTTTGATAAAAAAAAAGATAGAGAACAATGGTTTTCACCTGCAGACAAACTAGATAAGGATCCATTGAATCGTATATTACAAGCTTTTCTAATAAATATTCTAAAAAAAGATATTCTTTTTTTAATAAAAACAAAAAAGTGAAAACCTGATTCTTTTTCACCAGCATTGCTAGAAAAATCAACTTAGAGTTTCAAGTAGAATACCTATAAAACTTGAATGATTAAATCTTAACATTTGAGTCTTGTAGTTTTTGTAGAGATCTCCGATTGATGATTTAAATGCAAATTTGAATATTGAAAATTTTTTATAAACACCTGACGGAAGAGATTTGCTTTCGAAAAGTTCAATGGAAAACTATAAAAAATCAGATGAAAAAACTGTTACTTACAATTCAATGAATTTTCATCTTTTCTTTCTAACGATGAAAATTGCAGTTCTCTTTCTTGTTTCTATGAAAAGTTATTCAAAAAGTACTAGTGTGCCTTTTTTTCTTTAAAATAGACATTATTGTTATCGTGACAGAATTACATGTCTCTCTCCGAAAGTTTTGCGAGACGCTCTAGTGTTTCGAAATCTTTGAATTTTCTTTAGGATTGTTAAAAATGAAAAGGTCGGTTTTGTTTTATCGATATCTACACGTCTTGAGCGTTCTCCATGACCGAGAGAACATTTTTGTTGAAATATTTTTCCGTCAAAAGCATAAATGTCATAGCAAACAGCTCTTGTCGAAATTTTGCTATTACAATATTAATATTGAAGAATAATAATATATATGGCACAGATATAGAGCATTTTCGGTACCATCAGTATGCACGGAGAAAAAGTTTCCTTAAGCTTTCTATAAGGTGTTAAAGTTCAATTGCCTCTAGCATATTTTTATAATGAGATAATGAAGAAAAGATAAAAATTTTGAGTTGTCAAACTCCCAAAATTATTTTTTACGAGTTTTTAAAAAACTAATATCAATAAAAGATGCTATCATCCGTATGATATTATTTGATCAATATATAAATTGAAAATATCCATAATTGTTAAGGAAACATGATCGATCATAAAACATCTTAAAATCCACACATGTAAGGTTTTTAAAATTTATTTCAATTGAATTCTTTGTATTCAATAATCTTTTGTATTTTAAAATTTTTATCGTTTCTTTTATATTAAAAAGATATAACCGCTTTCATATACTTGAATCATGTGACGGATTATTGCCTTTCAATATCATCAATCGTGTACCTGTTAAGGCAAATTTATACGTATACGAAAAAAAGTTAAAAATCGATGCCATATTCATTATAGAAGTATTGAAATTTCGAATCAGTTACATAAAAATAAATTACATTCCCATATTAAAATTGAAATCTCAAAGAATAATATAATTAATTGATTTTTATAACGAATGTATCAAAAGTTTTGCATTAGTTTTATTTCTTTTTCATTTCAATGTAAGAGTATTGTCGAGAGTCAATATATTTTTTCAAAAAGACAACCCATAACCTCTTCTACAAACATTTTTTTACAAAATATGTCAGGTGGACATATCAACTGTACGCTATGTACAATGTTTTATTCAGCGTGACGGGTAAGGACACAGCGCCTCAACTAGGATGACATTGACTTTCTCAAAATTTGTGGTTAATGTAGCGTGCACTATGTTTTCATGCTTTCATAAGTAGGTGTTCACCCTCCCGCTGTTTTAAGTCACCCTTCGGAAAAATAAATCTGCGTAAAACACCGGCTATAAACTCATTATTTTGATTCTTAAAAAAAAAACATTTTTGCAATACAAAAAAAAGTATATGCAACTTCGATTGACATTACGGATATGAAAATTGTAATGAAAAATCTGACTGTAGGAATTGATAAAAAATTGTTGCGAATATTATAAATCATCTCACTGATTTCAACACACATATTGTCGAGATTTAAGTAAATTTTCAATTTTTAAACTATGTGTAAAATTGATAGCACCAAAATCTCGGTCAATTCTCTATAAAATCATATCGTGGTTTACAATTTATCTCTAATTAAAAAAAAACAACCAAAGCAGAAGACACTTTTTAGAAAATTACAGAGTAGTCTCTCAGTCATTAAGGAATGTTTTAAATGTCTAAGTACTTTATTATGAGTTTATAGCCGGTGTTTTACGCA